CAACTGAGGACAAAATGTGCTGATGTGCTAGACCAAGGCCACACTGCCTCTGACTGGATTACCAACACCAAAGTGCTCCCAGCTTTCCCACTCCCTCTTTTGTTGTGTAGACGCTATGACACATCCTTGATGTGTACACAATCAACTTGGGTCTGCTGTGGGTCATGTAGGTGCGATGCACCATCACTGTTGGCTGTTTTGCTTCATTTGCTTTCTTCTGCTTTGTCCGTTTTAATTTTAGAATTATGATGTTTGGACCACTGTAAGTGTAACAGCTGTGAATGTCTTGTCTAAATGCCTGTTGTAAAAGAACTATTTTTCTATACATTTAAGGTGGGTGGTTGGCGGGTGCTCTGGTGCGGTTTGCTCCTTCTTTCCTATCAAACATCTATCGTCCTTATCTCCCCTTGTTCTTTTTTATGTTTGTTACTCTCTTGTAACACCTCTAATCTTCTGGCGCTCATATGACCTTATGCAGTTGCAAGCGCTGTAAAACCTCTACTAAAACTACAACTAAAATACGTTTAAGAGACCAGACAGTGGATGGTTTGCAGGTGCTTTGGTGTGGTTTTCTCCTTTCCAATCTAACTAAATGTTTGTCATCATTATCTCTCCTTTTTTGTGGTTGTTACTCTCTTGTGTAACACTTTTATCTTTTATGGGTGGTTTGCAGCAGGTGCTCTGGAGTGGTTTTTTCTTTCATTCCTATCAAATGCAATGTACCTCTCGTCCTTGTCTCCCCATCTCATTGGTGGTTGGAGGGTGAAGGTACTCTGGTATGGTTTGCTCCTTCTTTACTATCATCCATCGTCCTTATCTCTCCTCCTTTTGTGTGATTAACTGTGATTTAGCACATCTAATCTTTGGCACATATATGACCTAATTCCATTGTGTTGCGAGTGCCGTAAATTGCGCTCACTAAAATTACAAAAGGTGAGTGGTTGGCAGGTGCTTTGGTGTGGTTTGCTCCTTCTTTCCTATGAAAAAAAGTCTTATCATCCTTATCCCTCCTCCATCTATTTTGTGTTTGTTACTCTCTTGTAACACCTCTAATCTTCGGCATTTATATGACCTTATTGTGCTCCAAGAGCCGCAAAACTCTTACTAAAACTAACAAAACAAAAGAGACTGAACTTGGGGATTTATTCATTAGAAGCCAGTTGTTATAGCCGAAATCCTGTATTAAAATTTGCATTCTCCCATCTCGATTACACCAAGGGACACAACACTGCGAGTGCATTATGAATGTTTTTTTGTTTTGAGTTACTCCCCTCGATAAAATGCCGGATTTGCTTTGCTCGGCGTTTGAGTTGTAAAAACAGTACATAATGATATAGTTTACCGGTTGACCTGCCATTTCTTTGAAAATTTCTATTGATGCGAAAAAAAAATGAACTGATTACCTTTGTGCTACAGGGGAGCTCGGAAGAGAAGTAAAACCAAATGCTTAGAATAGTAACGGCTTGTTGTGCGTACCTGTACACATAGAGGTCACAGTTGGTAAAAAAAAGTAAAAGGCAATTTCAAACTTGCCTCCTCAAAATACACTTGTAAGTTACGTGCGCTTTACACGCTTGACGTCATGGCAACCCAAATGTAGCCCCACGAAGTGTGGAGACACCGGTTGTGCGAAGAAGATCCAGTATAAACTGTGATCAGTGTGAATGGGGATCTCAAATTCATTGGAATTCTATTTTTACCTCTTTTGGCCTACTTCTGCTTCATACCCAAGTCCAAGCCCTGCTCCTCATCTCTCTCTCTCTCTCTCTCTCTCTCTCTCTCTCTCTCTCTCTCTCTCTCTCTCTCTCTCTCTCTCTCTCTCTCTCTCTCTCTCTCTCTCTCTCTCTCTCTCTCCCTCTCTCTCTTTCACCTCCTCTCGTCGGCGTCAAGTTGCAAAGCCACGTTATAAACATGTACAAGTGCAAGGCTTAGAGACGTAGATAAAATCTGGACTTGGACATCCGTGCGGAACTCCATGGCATCAATCAGAAACAATTCGGAACAACATAGACCTCAGCCACAATGGGAATAACTCTGTCAAAGTAACTCGCTGAGATCGAGACAGATTGTGAGTGGGCGGTCAGTAACTCCTCGGAAGTTAGGAGGGCTGACATAAGTTTGAAAGACCTTGTGTAGGTCTATGCACACACAAGCAGGGAGAGGGGAGAGAGAGTGTTTGTGTGTGTGTGTGTGGCATAGATGTACACTATAAAAGGAGATAACTCTATGGTGTGTGGTGAGAGAGAGAGGGGGGGGGGGGGTACTGAATCATTTTTTATCTATTTATTTATTTGTTCGGCTTTTTTTTTTTGTTCGTTTGATGTTGGGGGGGGGGGGGGGTGTTGTTTTTTTGTGGGGGTTGTTTTTTTAGGATTGGGGGAGGGGGGATTTTGATGATTGATAGTCCACTTCCATCAGTTGATCATTGCACTCAGTGTCGTCAAAATAGTTTCCATTGCTCCGGGTAGATAGGCCTAAGTCAAAAACAAAATCTTCACATTTCAAAAGCTGTCAAAATGTACCTGGTATTCAGATCTGAAAACTCCTGCTGTTCTTTAACGATACGTGTAATGTGTAATCAAGGCTACAAGATTTATTACTATAGCTTGTTCACTTTGTAGTCTGGCCGCGTAAAAACAGAACTTTCAGCTCATATTTAATTTATCAATAATTATTTTCCTATGGCTACGAAACTGCATGGCACCACTGCAGGCCAGCGACCAAACAAAAAATTATTTTTTTTAAAAATAATCTTGATCCTCTTGGGGCCCTATATCAAAAACCAGTGTTTGGATGCATGCACAGGAGCACTACAGCTTGTTCCCTTTCTTCTGACTGCGGTTAAAACAAGATAAAACAAAATCGCTTTGTTCAATCGTTTTAAATATACCGTATTTGCTTGTATACAAGGGTCTGAAAATTGGACGATTAACAGATTCTAAAAGCCCATTCATAAAGGTAACTGCAAACTGGGCTTCTGACGCGTTTTCTTTGATTATGTAAGCAAAAAGCAGGTAAAAAAAATAATAGTATTAATATGGGATTCTGGGATTCACAGCATACACCTAAAATCTAAATACAAGTTGACATATTTTCCCCAACACCACGCTCTAAGTCTAACGTACGCCGAAGAAAAGCGATTCAAGAGACGGAGTGAGTAATTTTCGAGACTCACGTGGAGACTTCTAGACAGCTGTGGGATGAAATCTACAAGCTTAGACTATGATGATGTGGGGGCAGGGTGATGTCGATGTCTTAGAATCAGCAATTTGTAGGCAATAGTAAAGTGTGTTATTTAATCTCGTATGGCAGTTGTGATGAGAAGGGGTGGGGGGAAGGGGGAGGCAATTACAGCGAATTATAGGCGATTTCCAGGTTGAGAACCATAGATATGGGGTACATAGAAGCGGAACCAATAAATTGGCAAAAAGATATTATTAATCTGAATACAGGATAAAGAGGCTAAAACAGAACCTGGACATGGATGGCTGGTGCCTCTATAAATAAATCATTGATGGTCAAGGTCAAGGTCACCTCTAAACTTCAGCTCTTATATGACCTATAGGTCTGGCTATTATTTCATAATGCTGATGATGATTATGATGATGATGATGATGATGATGATGATGATGATGATGATGATGATGATGAT